TTCAACCTAGACAATGAAGAAATAGAAATAGGAAAAGAATTCCCATACTCCCAGCACTCTTCTCCAGCATCACATTTCAAATGAATTTATTTTCTTCCTATTCGCTTTCTTGACTGTCCAGCTCACATCCATCCATGGGAATAGGGAATACAATGGTTTGTATGATTCTGACTTTCATGCTCAATTGTATATCTTTTCATTTTAGGATCTTTTCTAGTTCTTTCATGGCTGCCCTCCCCATTTTTAGTCTTATGATTTCTTGACTGCAGTCCCTGTTCCAATCAATGTTTGATCCTAGGTAGGAGAACTCTTTTACTATTTCTATTTACAGCATGGTATTCCACTTTAACTGCCATGGCAATACCCTGTGGAATTCTGGAATTTGTAGTTTAGTAAAGTCCAAGAGTTCCCCAGCTGAGGATCCTAAATGGTCCTCCCTAAACTGCAAACAGCGAAAGTGGACTATAGCGCTATAGCAGTGCAGTGTGATAAGGCTCTTAAACAATAGTGCTGTGGTTGCATCCGTATTAATCGTTAATACAGATTACAGTATTTTACAGTAAAAGAAGACTGAGAAATGAGAAGAAATAGATAGCAATAGTAAAAGGGTTTAGGACTGTTTTCCTAAAGAACATCGGAAGACCTATGATGGATTAGACCAAAGACCGTATTCAGTCTAGCATTTGATCCCCACACTCAGGAACAGATTATCCATGCTTCAGTTGATGCCATTGCTCCAGGCTTCTCACTGTTTAGGAACCCAGTCCTGAACAAAAAAAAAGATGTTTGGTTTGCTCTCTTATCTTTCCCAATTGCTTCCTGAACCTCCCAGTGTTTTTGAGGTCTTGTCTTATATGCTGCTTGAAGAACTGAGTCAAAATGGAGAGGCTCAGGTTCTTAGTCTCATTGTTACGGCAGTCAGAAAAGAGGCATGCATATGAAGATTATTATCTATGCTGACCTGGTGTGCAGGGGTTTGAGTGTTGGCCTAGGATGCCAGGAGACCAGGGTTCGAATCCTTGCTTGGCCAGGGAAACCCATTGGGGGGAGCTTGGGCAAGTTACACACACTCTCTCAACCCGAAGGAAAGGTTACTGCTGTCCTAGTTAGAATGGATGGAAGGATGGATAAAAGACCCAGCCACCTTAAAAGCATCTCAACTAAGCTACCCTCAAGCCTGTCACCAACCCTAAAGAGGTAGAAGCTGCCCAGAAAACAAAGCATAACAAGCCTAGAGTCTGAAACAGTACTGGGATTATTACTATTTCCAAAAACTTGGAAACTGTTAAGAAATGACCAGCAACCAGCTCTTTTCAGGGCATGACTCAAAGTGCTAGTTATGACCTATACAACTCAAGCCTGGACTTTGAAGGCCTTTCTATCTCCATGTGAGCCTGTCCTAAGTCTTAGGATCTTTGCTGGAGACCTTTCAGTCCCACTGTGCCCACAGACTTGTCTTACAAAGATATTGCTGGCTTCTCCCAGGCTATGGAGTCCCTTCCCAAGGGAGACTCGGTTGGCCCCTTCCCTGTTCGCTTTTCACCCCTAGGCAAAGGCCTTTCCCTCCTTCAGCTTCTAAATGGTTGGGGCCAAAGGATATTTAATAGGCATCCTGCATCTTTCACTGTATTTTGAATTGTATTCATGTTTTAAACTGGATTGTGTAATGGCTTTTTTTAAAAATTGTACTATAGATGGATTTAGGGGTGTTTTTTGTTTTAACTTTATACTGTGAGCCATTATGGGTCCCACGTTGGGATAAAGGTGGGATATAAATGAAATAAATCCCCGCAAAAATGGATTGAGGGGCTGGCTTTTTTGGAGGAGCGGCAGAACACTCTGGAGTCGGTGCTTCGGCTTAATGCAAAGCCGAACTGGTTGAGCAGAAGAAAAGCCCCGAGTGCCACTAGCTGGAAAGAGTTTCTGATGTCACATTAAATTATTCAGAGAAGCACTTTGCTGCAAAATTGCCAGGGCGGGCAGCTTCTTGTATAATTGCAACCAGGAAGGCAAACAAGCCCCTTCCCTGGCCTCCTTGCACAAAGAGGTGTGCGTGTATGTGTGTGTGTGCATGCTGGTGAGGCCTCACCTGGAGTACTGGATTCAGGTCTGGGTGCCCCATTTTAAGGAGGAGAGAGACAAGTCGGAGCAGGTTCAGCAAAGAGCAACAGGGGCAAGAAGACGTACTGAGAACAAAGCCTAGGAGAAAAGGTTGAGGGAGCTGGGCATCCTCAGCCTGGTGAAGAGAAGATGGAGGGGTGACACGATTGTCCCCCTTAAATACCTCAAAGGCTGCCCCAGAGAAAAGGGAGGAGGCCTATTCTCTGCTGCCCCAGGACCAAGTCTGATGGTTTTTAGGTTATAGGAGGGAACCATAGAATCATAAGAGTTGGAAGAGGCCACAAGGGCCATCCAGTCCAACCCTCTGCCATGCAGGAACTCCAAAGCAAAGCAGAAGATTGAGATTGAACATTAGAAGGGACTTCTTCATGAGTGGTTCAGTAATGGAAGCAATCACCCAGAGAGGCGGTGGGGTCTCCTTCTCTGGACATCTTCAGAAAGAAGCTGGACAGCTCCCTGCTGGGGATGCTCTAGCTGGAATTCCTATACTGAACCAAGAAGCATGGCGTAGTAGTGGTTCAAGCGTTGGAGTATGACTCTGGAGACATGAGTTTGAATCCCATCTTGGCCATAGAAACCCACCTTGGGCAAATCTCACTCAGAGTCAGAACATGGCAATGGCAAACCTCCACTGGCCTGAGAGTAGAGGCCAAGATCACTACATTGCCCCATTGGCATGGAAGCCACTAGCCATCTTGGGGAAGGGCCTAGTGGTCTAACTCCCCCCCCCCCCCCCCCCCCCCCCCCCCCCCCGGCCACTATCTCCATTTTCTGGGAAGGGAAGGAGGAATTGCTTCTCGCGAGATATTGGAGCTGGCCAAAAATTGTATTGGGAGCCCATTTATGAGAACTCTTGCTTTGCTGGGCAATCCAGCAAGGAAGGATTATGGGTCTCTTTCCAAGTGTGGCATGGAAGAAAATACTGCTTTTCCTGCCACCCCAGCTCCCCTTCTGGTCCTCTCTTGTCCCTGTTCTTGCTGTCCTTTTAAACAGTACAAACAAGCAATAAAGCAACAACTCTTTATCAGCATTTCATCTTAACCACCAGGCAAGTTCAAACCCCAGTTCCCCATCTGTTCTCCAAAACCGCTGCTCTATCATTGCCGATGCAGACACGATGAAACACTTTTTGGTGCTCGATGGTGGGAAACTACAATGCTGTATTTTTCCAAAACAGGCCAGCCCTAAGCCCATGCTGGCCACCAACCGTGGGCTACTCTCCCGTAATCCCATGGGAGGAAAGGCGACAAGGCAAAGGTGATGCTGGGAAGGCCAACTTTCTAGAAGAAACGAGTTGCATTTTTAATTTTGTTGGGGTTAAGCTGGGTTTTTAAAAATGAGATCTGAGCTTCAGATAAGCTCACAGAGAATGTGAATTAAATCCGTCAAAGAGAAATGTTTCTGTTTTGTTTTTGTTTTTTTAACTCTAGCAGCAAAGTAAGCCAAGTGTCGGCTGGAACATTTAAAACTTTGTTGTGTGCCTTCAAGTTGGCTCCAACCTATGGTTATCTTACCCTAGTTTTTTCTTAGCAAGATTTCTCCAGAAGTTTGCTATCGCCTTCTTCTGAGGCTGAGAGATTGTGACTTGTCCAAGGTCACTCAGTGGGTTTCCAGGGCTGAGCAAGGACTCAAATCCTGGTCTCCCAGAGTCCTAGCCCAGCACTCAAACCACCCCCTCAAACAACTACACCATGCTGTCTTTCAAACTGGAAAATAGTTCCATAAAATATTTGGAAAATTCTGGCTCGCAGGTATATTTTAGGTTTGAGGAGAAGAAGGGTATTCCTTCCTTCCCACAGCATGGGACGGGTGGCGTTTGGTCCTCGGTGATGCCAGTCTTCTCTTCTTCTGGCAAAAAGTGAAAAAGAGAGAGGGGGAATTAGCTCCAGGACTGGCCATTTAGTATCATAAAATAACACTTTTTCAAAATCAGAAGTAGGCATCTGCCCAATGCCCCACAAAGTGTCTCGAGGTTCGAAAATGGGTCCCTGGTCCCACTGCAGCTCACCCTGATTTAAGATGAGGAAAACTAAGAGGATCACTTACAATTTACTGAAATCACAAATCAATAGTACACAGTTACATTGCAGAAATAATACAAGAAGTAGGGATAACATTGCCTATTTCGGTGCAACGGTGGGGCCTTGGTATCCATGGGCTGCTATCTGAGGATTTAAGCATCCACGGACAGCAAGCCCCATAGTCCACCAATGCACCGCCATTAGGGACAACAGGACATGAGATTCCGTATTTTTTCGTCTCCACGGTGGGATCCCCGTGGATGCCAAGGTCCAACTGTATTCTAGTTTGCACCTGAGGAAATAGGCTCAAGTCTACTCACATCTCCCCCCATCCCTACTTTGGAGGTCTTGAAAGGGTCTTCTGAGGCCACAAAGCAGGGTCAGGGGCCACATCCAGCCCACAGGCCATACTTTCCCTGTGTCGGCTGTAAACCACACTGAGCAGGAGAGGCCAGTTACTGACTCTGCACAAGACAGTATAAGTCTTCTGTTCCAGAATACTTTGGTTATATAAACTTCCCCTCCTTCCGTTGACAGTGGAGGCCACTCTTTGCCAAACACACACATGCATACTTATCACTCATTAAGGCACTCCAAGATTTGGAACTGTTATAACATGCTCCTTTTGACAAAAATCCAAGCTGAAACCTCCCCGTCTTGTCTCAGCCCATCTGCTCTGCTATTGCCTCATTTTCTTTTTTTCTTGCTCCAAAGCCAAGAGAAGACATAGGACATCCCATCGTAGCCCACAAACCAGTCAATGGGATGAAGCGACTGCCTGGTACATGAAGTGAACTCACACTTATTCCTCCATCTTAACAATCCATGGTGGCAAATATGATTTAGAATTCAGGGCTTTGACCTCTGTTTTCTTTCCATGCCACTTCTTTGTCAAATTATTTGAACCCAAACCTCATCCTATTGCCTTTTCCAAAATGGGGTGGATGGGTGGGATGGAAAATGTGGGATTCAAAACAGCAGCTATGTTTTGCAGCTCAGGACCAAGTCTCCACCTGACTCTACCTTCCATGCAGATCCCTAGCAAATGAGGTTTTGGAGCTTCTGTAACTATCTTTGATCCACTAAAGCAGGGGTAGGCAACCTTTCCCCTTTAAGGGCCGAGGGACTTCAGCTCCCAGAAGCCTCAGCCATGTTGGCCAATAGTCCCATGTTGGCAAATAGCTCCTGGGATTCTGGGAGCTGAAGTCCCTCGGCCCTTAAAGGGGAAAGGTTGCCTACCCCTGCACTAAAGGGCAGCCATTTTGGCAAGCCATTAGAGCTGCCGTTTTGTGAACAAGCAACCAATACTCAACTGTCATTTTTTTATATAAGAGCAGCCACAAGACTCTCTCTCTCCAACTGACTTGCAAAAAGTTAAGGACTCCTTCATTGTGCATCTTGCTAAATTGAGATTGATGCTCGCCACTTTTTGCCAGGTGCTGTCACAGCATCCAAGAACTTCTGGTGGCAGCCTCTGAACATTTTTTTGCAGCCATTCTTCATTTTTCTCAGAAACCAGCAGCCAAAAGAGGGTTACATAAAGAGCCTGGGTGGGATCCAGCCCTCCTGACTACAAGGTCAGCAGGTCCAGAGACAGACACATTTTTAAGCAATTAAGTAGAGCGAGCCAGAGAAGAACGCAACCAGCCAAGCTCCGTTGACTCAGGATTGCTCCTCAACCAAAGAAGCTGCCAAGTACAACAACACGCAAGAAACTAAGCACTCAAGTCTTGTCGTAACTCAAAGGAGAATTGTTCAGCTTTGGAGAATATTGTCTTTCCTTTGTTTCTAAAGGGAAAGCTTTTTTTTTTAAAATGTACTTATTTATTTATTGAATTTATAGCTCACCTTTCTCTCGAGATGGGAATTCAAGGTGGCTTACGATAAT